CTAACCTCACGATACGATACGTATCACAGTATTCAGTTCACGATACGATACGTATCACGATACATGACAAGGTTAAAAAGTCTTTCAAGTTTGTCATAATATTTTTTTAAACTTGACAGGGTTATATCAAATGTTTATATTTTTGATAATAATTAAAATATCATTTTGTTAACTTGAACTAGATTAATAGGTAGATCTTTGAGTTGTGACAGTATTCTAAATCAGTGATGAACATTTACAGGGAACTACGGGGACCTTTCCTAATAATCTTCCTTTTAAATGGGAATGAAAAAGGAAGACATTCATTCTTTTAATCCTTTTATTTATGTTGAAAACCAGTTGTCATATTTCTCGAATTAACACATTTTAGTCAAAAGACAGCGAATTTTCATTGAAACACACGTGTGATGAGATATCGTGTATTACCAAAGAATACATTTAGATCTAAAGGGTTTATCATTTATCTTAACATCTATAACTTTTAATCACATAAAGTCCTCCGTGTTAAATCTGAGGTCTTGTAAGATGCTGGAGATGAGTTTAACTGCCGTTAATGCGTTATGTCGACCTCACATTTTGCGCGGAAGCCATTTTGAAATTGTAAACAAAGAAAGAAAACGGACGATTCAGATAATTCTGGACCGATTGAACTGAACCGCGGTATCAGTTTAGTGTATCGTGAATTGAACCGTGGAAAAATATACCGCGATATACCGTCAAACGGTTTATCGTTGTACTCTTAATTTTTAACATATAATTTATCATGATAATAATCATACTGTGGTTTCATTCACTTTTACTCATTCACTCATCGAGGAATTCATATTTTATATTTTTTAACATATAATTTATCATGATAATAATCATACTGTAATTTCATTCACTTTTATAGGAATCAAATTTTGTTGTTTTGGCAAAAATACTATTTTGTTGAAATATAAATTGCTTTGTCCTATTATATATAATGAGTAAAATCTGAAATCATTTAACTTTGTGGGTCTGGTTGAATCACAAAAACAAAAAGAATTGGTGTTCTACAAAATGTGATAAAAGCATCTCAGTTTATGGTTTTTTAGGACTGTTTATGATATAAAGGTTGATATTATTAAAAGGGCCCTGATCTACCTGTCTCCTGGCTTTGTCTTGGGTGTAGTGAGATGTTAGTTTCATCAGGGAATTGGTCCCACCACACTCCCCCTCAACCAGATTCCTCATTGCCATAGTTACAATTAAGTTTTCTTTATCTACAATATCAAGAATAAATATCATGTTCAGCTTTTTTTTGTACTGAATCCTAAATATCAATGCACAATCAGGTATACACATTAGGTTCTACTTTTTTTTCATCACTTCACTCTTTTAAATTATTTTTTTTATCCTCTTTTTAAAATACCACCTTCTAGGGTTCTCCTTAAACATAGTAGGGAATTCCTGAACTGAACTGTATGAACAGGTCCAGGAAAATCACTATATTTAGCTATATAGCTTAATTTACCTATATAGCTTTATTTACCTATATAATATAGCTTTATTTAGCTATTTCAGAGTAAATTTCTGTTTTATGAAAAGCAGACAAAAAGTCGCATAATGAGGCAGTATTAGTTTTCAACTTTGAAATGGACTGAAAACAATTCACCAAAAACCCACTTTTAAAAATGTTTCTCCTTTTCTGCAATTGCAATCAAAGATCTAAAAGTTTTGGGGCTATGTATAACAGTTAATCTGTGAATAAGCAGCTACTTTAACAAAGAAAAGCAGTTTTGGTCAACAAGATAATTGATTGGTAATAATTCAGCACAATGCAAGGCAATCACACTTAGTCATGCCTCATCGCACTTCCAGTAATGGACAGCTATCCAAACAATAGAGATGCATTTTTTGGTTAAAAAGTGTTTAAAAGAGGCAATGTTTTTACTATCTATGCCCTAGGTTGTTTTTATCAAACCTTTTTAAAAAAATATCAGCCATAATTTTCATGCGACTTTTTGTTTGCTTTTCATAAAACAGAAACTTATTCTAAAATACCTAAATAAAGCTATATTATATAGGTAAATAAAGCTATATAGGTAAATTAAGCTATATAGCTAAATATAGTGATTTTCCTGGACCTGATGAACAATGCAATATGTTTAACAATACTGTATGATAATAAGGAAAAACCATAAATTTAACAGTCTCAGTGAATCAGGCAGTAAATGCTGCACTATATGTTTTTGTTTGTTTTTGTGTGTGGTTTTCGTCTGTTGTTAACACATCTTTAAATATTACTACGTTGCAACCAAGCATTCAAACAGAGATATTTCGGGTAACATCAACAATCCCACATTGTTACACAACTGTCAACATACTCTTCTTTAGCAAATAATTATATACAGAACACATTTAAATTGATTCATTACCTCTAATTCATTATTTTAAATTAGAAATAGCCAACATGTCTGACATTCTATGCTTTGATTACAAAAATAATCCTCCGATTCTTGTCGTCCAACATATTAACACTAATTACTGCCCTTTGTACTCCACACGATGACGTTTTCTAGACTGGTTCCATGGCTTCAAGAATCAAGAGCTGAGAACCAGTTCAATAATCTAGGTCTTGCATACACACCGTTGTGTTTATTTATTTATTCTATTTTATTTATTTACTTGTATGTTTGATTCATTTATTCAATTATATTTCCGCAAATTTGAAAAAAAAATATATACATCATACCTCAGGCACGGATCCAGGAATTTTTCCGGGGGGGGGGGGGGATCCACCCCAGTCAAAAAAAAATTCCAACCCTAAAATTTCTTGACAGGTAAAAAAAAAACAAACAAAACTAATTTCCCCCCATTATGGAATTCCATATACGACAGCCAATTGCTTACTGCCAACTGCTCGATCATTGCTTATACTGCCAACTGCTCACTGCTTACTGCCAACTGTTCACTGCTAACTGCCAACTGCCACACATATTTGAATAAATTTTCATATTTATATTGATATCTATGTGAATTTTCATTAAACCAGGCGCGGATCCTGGATTTTTTTTTTTTTTTTACAGGAGGGGTCCACCCCAGTAAAAAAAAAATCCAACCCAGAAATTTCTTGACAAAAAAACAAAACAAAAACGTAAACTCGTTTCCTAAACGTAAAAAAAAAAAACTATTTCGGTGGGGGGAGGGGAGGGGTTGACATCTTATGCTTCATATCTATGAATTTTCATATCAACTTAACACGGATCCACGTTTTCTAGGAGAGGGGGTTCCAAGGTCACCGTGGCTTTTAGTTGGTTTAGTATATAGTTACTATATACATTAAATAACTCGACAAATTCCAGGGGGTGGTCCGGACACCCACCCACCCCCTCCGACCGACCCCCCCCCCCTAGATCCGTGTATGTAAAACATAACTTATTTGGGGGAAAAAAGGAGATATTTAAGAAATAAGGTATCATTTTTAAACATCTATCGGGATATAAATACGGGTTGGTCACGAGATCAAATTCCATAAAGCCCGAAGGGCTTTATGGTAAATTTGATCTCGTACCAACCCGTATTTATATCCCGATAGATGTTTAAAAATGATACCTTATTACTTATATTTACATTTGTCACTTATTTATATTTTATATTTGCTTAATTATAATTTTTAACGTGTGAAGTGTTTTAATTTTCAAACTCAACGGCACGTGTCTAATCCACTGATTGCGCGTCGACCCTTTATGACGTCACTGAGAAATTACGTCGAACGTTTATGACGCGAGGAACCCGTGTTTATACGGATATAGATACGCATTGCTTTCAATAGTGTTATATAAGGGAAAGCATTTGCAAATGTAAATATAGATCTTTAATTTGAGAAAATATTTCACTATAGAAATTAACGGAAAATGGAAAGAAGAAAGTACGTTACGGACCAAAATCGGCCCTGTCCCCAAATCTGATGAAGATATTTTTGAAACATGCCTAAGATGTCATCTTTTTAATTCAGCTTAATTTTTGTAATTATCTCAACTCAATTTTCCTACAACGCTATCTGAATATAGATAGTTTCTTTGGAAAATAGCACTATGACGTTATGACGTCAACCTAGCGACGCTACGCAAATACGAGGGTTGTTGGAAAGTTCGTTATATTACTTTCAAGAAATATTAAAAAAGAACACATTTTCTCATATAAAATATTTATTTGCATTTTCATTCCATTCGATTTAACAGAAATCAATTTACTTAATATTTAGAATCAACATGTTTGGTATCCCTGGAGCTACATTATAACGTCAAAAAAACATTGCGTCATGGTGTTTTAAAAAAAAAAAAAAATCTCCCTTTACATTTCACTCAGTTTGGTCCAATAGCCACTTATTAAAAACGTTTCTCCATCAATTTTATTTTATATTGCTAACAATCGTACCAGTATAATTTAATTTTGTTTGTCCATGTATTATTTCTTTTTTATTTTACCGCGTAACTGTGCATTTACAAGATCAGCAACTGTGAAGCGCCTCTCTCTTTCCATGACTTTAGCAACTCAAAGTTTCTGTTCAGATTTTTACAGATAATCCATTTTCTCACAGACTGCCCTTGTCTGATACAGAATTTTAATCATTCGAATACAGCCTCTACCATTTATACACATATGCACAAATCACTTTTGACATTTGCTTCCTACAATATTTCAGAGTTTATGCTGAAGATTTCCAGAGAACAACACAAAATTTTGTTATATATATACCTTTAAAATTGGTTTCTATATAAATCTATACACAAATGTTGTACTTAGCGGTCATAAAAAATGGATGTTTGGCCGCGGAGTAAGATATTTGACCTGTCGATGAGAAATTGGACCGCTTACGTTAAAATTGTGGGCGGGATCAGCTAAATTTCATTTGCAATCGTTGGTGTTCGACAGTGACGAAATTGACCAATTTTAACCGCAGTGTGATTTAAGTAAATTTACGTCATGGAAGCCTGCACAAGATACAAAGGTACATGTATAACAAAACATTTATTGACAAGGTTCTCGGGCAAATTGCGTTTTGTTGACCCATCGAACGGTTAGATAATGGCCCCAGAGTGAGACAAACAGTTTGGTTTTTGGGTCCGACAATATACGTACAAATAAAAGATTAATTTATATGATTTTAAAACGAGAGAGAGATGGGGGGGGGGCAAAGTGAGAGAGAAATGCGTAACGTATATTTAAGAAATAATGTATCATTTTCAAACATCTATCGGGATATAAATACGGGTTGGTCACGAGATCAAATTCCATAAAGCCCGAAGGGCTTTATGGTAAATTTGATCTCGTACCAACCCGTATTTATTAAGAAATAAGGTATCATTTTTAAACATCTATCGGGATATAAATACGGGTTGGTCACGAGATCAAATTCCATAAAGCCCGAAGGGCTTTATGGTAAATTTGATCTCGTACCAACCCGTATTTATAGCCCGATAGATGTTTAAAAATGATACCTTATTACTTATATTTACATTTGTGACTTATTCATATTTTATATTTGCCTGATTATAATCTTAAACGCGTGAAACGTTTTATTTTTCAAACCCAACGGCACGTGTTTGATCCTCTGATTGCGCGTCGACCCTTTATGACGTCACTGAAAAATTACGTCGAACGTTTATGACGCGAGGAACCCGTGTTTATACGGATATAGATACGCATTGCTTTCAATAGTGTTATATAAAAGAAAACATTTGCAAATGTAAATATTATCCGATAGATGTTTTAAAATGATACATTATTACTTATATTTACATTTGTGACTTATTCATATTTTATGTTTTCCTGATTATAATCTTTAACGCGTGAAATGTTTTATTTTTCAAACCCAACGGCACGTATTTGATCCGTTGATTGCGCGTCGACCCTTTATGACGTCACTGAGAAATTACGTCGAACGTTTATGACGCGAGGAACCCGTGTTTATACGGATATAGATACGCATTGCTTTTAATAGTGTTATATAAAAGAAAAATTTTGCAAATGTAAATATTTAATAGTACGTTTATTATAAGTATCCGATTATTCTAATTCAAGCAAGAGTTTGATTTTTAAAAGCTAGACTATTTTTGTGCGAATTACTTGGTTTGTTTTTAAGATTGCATTAAAACTTTTAACACTATTTTATAAATGTCAGATTCCCTATAAAAGTTTATGAGAAAGCATTTAAGATATTTTCGAAAAAGTATTTGAAATTTTAATTAATAAATAACATTGAAAGGGCTAATTCCCCAGCCCATTCTCGCGACGTCATTCACGAATTTATCTAAACAAAGTGTGTTTAAAACGTTTCTGTCTTGTCATCTGAAAAAGTTCCCCCCCCAAAAAAAAAAAACTGAAAAAAGTACTGTCATTCGATTAATAATTTTATATGTCTCCAGATGGTTCTTCTCAAATGCACGAATCAAGTACCCCCCCCCCCCCCCAACAAGCTGTAGCACTTCTCTTGGATAGTTGGCATGGGCAACCTTCTATCGAATTTTCTTTAGGAACTTATTGAGGCTTTTTTCACCAACTTAGTATAGCTTCTCAAAAAAAAAAATTAATTAATTAATTAAAAAATAAATAAATAAATAAATAAAAAATAAATAAATAAATAAAATAAAAATAAACATGTATAAACATTTACTTTTTTGAAGAACACTTTTACGATCTTTTTTTTTAAATACGTAAATATAATTATAAATAACTACTGTTGCTTGAAGTTTCGATTTTGTTGCTTAAAGTTTTACTCAATATGCGAGCCTATCTTAAAGTAAGTATTGTGAGCCTTTGATACCAAACCTATGGAGAGAATGATTATAGGCACTTACGCCTGCTTTTCAATCCATTTCAGGTAGGGCTCTCGCGCCGTGATCGGAAGGTCGTGTGTTCAAATCACGGCTGCGACCGACCTAAGTCGATAAAAAATAGGTAGCAACTGTTCCTTCGTCAAGCGCTTGGCACTTTGAAGTGAAAGTTGCGGGTCTTTCGGATGAGACCTAAAAACCGAGGCCCCGTGTCACAGTAGGTTCAAACTTTTTTCATTTTTTTTTCACAACCAACTTTCCCCCAATACACTAAATTCCGAAACTTTACCTATGCTACAGCATATGGGGGGGGGGGGGTAGTCTTTCAATGAACATTTTCAAAGTTCGGAAAAAAGTGGGAAGGGGCCCTGCGTCCCTGATTTTTCGTGCCTGATAAATAACTTTCAGACTTGTCCACACTGACAGATAATTTTGTTCCACAGTACTTATATTAAATTGTGTGATATACTTAAACTGCCGTAATGGGGTGAAAGAATTTTCTAGACAGGTAACATTGTGAAAAGTGAACCCATCATCCGATACAGCTTTTTATTTATTTTTTTTTGTCCGAAATTCCTTTTTGGACCTCTCTGTCGCTTTCTCATTCCAGTCTTCTTTTAACTTCACTGGATCCTCGACAGATAAGAAATTACAACTCTGGTATATGTAGAATGATCTTATTATAAGTAGAATATACGGG